GCGGCAGCCGCAATTGCGTCCCGGGACTTTGAAATAGGATACTTTAAAGGGATGGAAGCAGCTCGGGACGCCGGACGGACCTCGTCCACACTACCCGTGTCAGCGAGCCTAGCGAGCCTTGTGGAAATCGCTATAACTTCCTTATCGCGCCATATTGAGGGATGAAAGTGGTATCATCTTCGTCAAGGCGTAGAGGGTTCCAAAAAGCACGAAGTCATTTTGAGGACCACTTGATCGCGGGGAGTGTCTTTAACAATTGCATTGTTGAAAGTTAGTTTCATTGCTTTCCCGCGGAGTAGATAATTACAGAGAATACAAATTCATGTATGAAACAGTATGAAAGAGTGTGAAACAGATTCTGCATGAGCCGTGAGTTTTATCACAACTCACTCGAAATAAGCTTTCTTTAGCAACTCATTCCGAGTGACGGGGAGACCATAATCTGCCTACTGATCCAGATCACTTACCGAAAGTGGGCGCGGCCTCTGATAGTGGCTACCTGTTGCAGCCTAAAAAGGCAACCCTTTCAAAGAAGGGACCAGGATTCTGCAAAAGACGCGAAAGTAGGCGTGTTTATAGGGGCCCATTGTGTGGGGCTCAGTGTACAAATGCATATCTACGACATATTCGTTTTGTGAAGGATGGATGTCAGAAGAATTATGTCGAAAAAAATATATAAAAGATCATTCTTACAATACATACTTCATGGAAAAGTGGACGGAGTCGTGTGTCGGTACCGATCCTTCTCAGTTAGAATATTTGCGAAGTAGCACAAGCAAAAAAAGAGTGTCCATAAAATAAATGTTAAAACTTTATGAGCGCACTGGAAAGTAAGCGAGGGTGTTGTGGCGAGGCTTGCATCCGTACCTACTGTGGTCTACTGCCAACTGATCGCAGTAGTAATTCCGTGTGTCTGATTTAAATTTTAAGTAAGTGTCGCTTTGAAGTTCGCGAATATTGGGCTGCTTTAAGAGGCAAGCTGTATTTTACCCTCCAGAGCTGAAAGAAGCCAACGTCATTCTGGACCGAACTTGCATGCCCGAGGGTGGGGCACCAGAACGGAATACGTTTGATATCAAGGACTAGTTTTTCTTCAATATGGAAGCGAATATTAATAGCGAAGGAAATTGGATAGCGTTCAAGGAGAAATTAGTGATGCAGTACACCGATAGCAATGACGGACGTGGATGGAAGTGGAAAGCTGAGATTCGACGGGAAAAAGATGATTAGGGATTCATTAAAAATCGAATTCTTGACGGGCACGTATTGTCTGAGGGTACAGCGAAGGGAATTTCATTTCGAAACCTGCTCTTGCATCTTCAGAATTTTTTGAACCTTCAGGTGTTTTAATGAGTTCGTCAGGTACGACAATGAGGCACATTCCTTCGCGTTTTCCTGTGACGCTGCAACCATTCATTATGGTCTTCAGCACGCTTCTCGCTGAACAACCGACAGCAGCCAGGTTGCCCTGTGTCGGTCACTGTCGGGCATACGCCGACGGTTCATAGAAACGTTTTAGACAGTTCTTAGGATTTGCTCGTGTTCGCACAGATCCACTAATGTTTCGGTAGTGCAACCTGCAAATTGTGACACAATAGGTTGCAAGGCACGTTACCGCCTTTGCACGACTACAGTAACTGGGAGTTATTTCCACGATGCACACCATCTGAGTTGCATTAACCTGAACGCTAAATTGTTGCGGCAGGTTTTTCTTTGTGCACACTGCGTGGTCTTTGTGGCATACATAGGGTCTTGAATTGAGAGCTAGCACCTTAAGCTTACCATGAACGGCGTCGGTGCTGAGGAGACTTCAGATTGAAAGATCTATGGGTGAGCAACCGGAGGGTGTAACTCTTTGTTGGGATATTTCTCAATGAGAAGTCTCTCGGTGTGTCCGTGCTCATGGAGCTCATGTTTTCAATCACTTTCGTGACTGAAAACATTTCGGACTGATTTGTGCCCATAAAAGTAGGACGACTTTATTCGTTGAACTCCTGCTGTCGGCTGGAGGATGAAAAGCGTCCGTTGCTCACAACATGCGTTGGTACCGCGAGTACAACATGCTATCTAACCTTGAGACAGGAGGTGCAAAGGCAAAATCGAAACGAGGTGAAGGCTAGCGCTACGTTTTGTTGAGCACTGTGTTAAGACCTTAAGTTTAGTACTGCGCATACGGAACACCTGCCAGGGTTTAAAGACAAACTCAACGATCGTATATTGTAGATAGCGGGCTTATTGGATAGCGGGCAAATTACTGTCCAGCGAAGAAAAAAAAAGCAAAAAAAACAGTGAGAACCACCAAGATTGAGACCTAGCAGACTCTGGACGAGTTCTCTGGACATGCTTGTTTTGTGCCAGCAGCGCCGTATCCTGCTAACGGCTAATCATTTTCTCGCGACATCCATTGTTAATACCATCTAGCAACGGAAAAAAGGAAAAATCAAGCACAGAAACTGAACTCGTGACAGGAAAATATTTTGAGTGTCGGTGAGTGGAGCAATTACAGGCGGGTCAGAACTGCCACCCATGAGAGCCACGCGAATTCTTTACTTTTTGTGAAGCCGAAAATGAGATGACTTTGGAGAATGAGGACCGGAGTAATTGTAAAAGACACTAATTGCCACTAATTGCCTGAGCGCGAAGACTGTGTTCAATATTTATCATTGTAACGTGCTTCAGTGATTGAGCAATGAAGAAAGGTCCTTAGAGTGAGGAAAATAACCACTGAATGAATTTTGATGAGTACGATGGAGTACACTGGAACCCGAAAACCATGAAGTGATCACTTCAAAATGCTTCAAACTACTGAGCAGTGCTTGAGAGCTTACGTGTGAAAGTTTCTCGAAATCGTAAAAGTTCGAGAGAAGGGTATCCTGGCAACGACGACCATTATAAATAGTCTTTTTCTTGAACCAAACATGACCTGAATGGTGTCAGCGAAACAGAGCAAAATAACGTGCTTCAGTGAACGAGCAATGAAGTAAGATTTCTATTATAGAAGGAGTCTGCCACCCTGCCAACCTGGCGACCACGGCGCCTAAGCCTGTTTTCAGTTGCCTGGCTTTCCATTGACCGTTCCTTCAATAACGCCTTTGACTTCTCCTTTCTCATGACTATCACCCACTATACGCAGTTTGCCTCGTTTGTCTGTTGTTTGTTTGTTTATTTGTCTGTCTGTTTGTCCGGGAATCCGGTTCAACCTACAGAGCAACAGAGGTAGGGTCAATATGGGGATGGGTAGGGATGGGCAAGATGTAAAGAGCACGCATGATGCATCCGAAGCCCCGCCCACAATGGGCGAGACATGCGCCGAAAGTTGGGGTGCCGCAGAGAAAAAACTCATATCTCGGTTCTGTAAGGGACCCACCCTAGAAGATGTAGTATTATGGATCGTATCTATGTTTTGAAGAATTGTGAACGAATTTCTGAAGTATCGTAAACAATGCTGCATTGCAATTTCGAACGTTCTGCTTCACGTTTTCTAACAGCTAGCTATCATAACGTCTATATTGTCGCGAGCCAGGGATAATTATTACGCGCGATTTGATTCCACCACATGGCTAAAAGGATAAAGGATAGTCTTCGCCGTTGATCAATCCCTTTGTGGGATGCGGCACGCATTCTACTTCCATTCAGAGTCGTAGTGGCATATGGTCTTGGTGGTCCTGGGCGGGAGTCGACCCGGGATTCGAACCCAGCGCCGCGTGAGTGGTAAGCTCGCCAGTTGTCACTACACCACCTCCGCCCTAGCTTAACGTGTGGTATTTTTTCATAATCTGGTTGTCTCGCTTCACCCAATACAAGACAAGAACTTAAAGGGGGCAAGCGAACAGTTCTATCGTCACGCGGTCGCGTCGCTGTTTTCACCCTAGAGCGCGCTATTTTACCTGATGTTGAAATATCTGGCGCGAGCATTTGAGCGCTCCTCGAGGGTATTGTCCCGCCAGTTTGCGACTATGCTTCTGATTATTGTTAGAGTCTCCAGTGAAGCATTATAACTATTTACGTATTATCCGTAGTTGATTTTCTCTTCGTTCATACGTAATCCCGTTGGATAATCGGAGAATTTATGCAGAGTGATTCGGCAGATGACTATTTCTTCTCTGGGTGTTGTGTACTCTTCCTTAGACAATCGTACAACATGTGTAACTTTACTATTTTCTCGAATCGTTTTGATTGCCTTCGTTATTCTGCTCGGTTTTACTCTAGTTGTTTCACCTTCTTCCTTTTTCAGTTGATGTCGTCTGGAAGGGAGATATCCGAGAATCGCTATGATGAGCCATGCGGATCGCGATTGCCACGATGCTCCGAAGGTCTTGAACCCAATGATTCAAGGGGAAGAGTCCTCCATGAATTTATCAACGGCAGTCGACTAATGAGTGTTTGTACACTATCTTCATTTCACAATTGATTTTCGCCTCGGTAATCATTCTGAGAATAATCTACGCGGTCACTTTAGGCGCGCACTTCGTCGGTGGGGGGGGGTATATCTTACTTATCCGCTGCTGAACTAGTTTCGGTTCACAAGTCTCGCTATTGTAAAATCTGGTGAACTGTTGCGAAGGTGGAGCGAGTACGTCGAGCCAGCATGGCACTTGGTATTTGTATGGTATTTCACTGCTTTACAGCAGTTGACAGGTTCTCTCACAAGAGTCGGCATGTGGTCCCAACAAACATTGGTTAGCATTATTTCGTGGTTTCACAAAATTTCACTCGATGGCTCGACATCGATGGGAAATCGAGCATTCGAACGTGATGTTTTCCCCCTTCCCCCCTCTCATCCCCGAACAGCGCCCACCTTAGCTAACATTGTGGAGTTGGAGAATCTGCGAGGAGAATTTACAGATCGCTGAGGAAGGTGCTAGACACCGAAATATTCGAAGGAAGTATTAGAAACAAAAAATTTTTGCAAGAACTTTTGGATTCTTTTGAGTCTTTTGAGTTTTTTGCAATAAATTTTTTGGCGCCTCTTTCACGTGTTTCATGTTCAGAATACTAATATGTTTAAAGAAAGACTTCATCGTACACAGAAGTATTCTTATCTCAACAAGGCAACGAATTCGTGCTTAGATGCTCTGGTGCAAGCTCTGCTTGACGTGGTTGGTGACGTGGTTAGGAACCATGGAATCATGGCAAGTTAGGGAGCTATCTCCTCGCAACATCAAACGTGTCGGTGACGTTTTCCAGGACACTCGATACCTCATGGAATAAAATATCATGAAAAGAAAGTCAACGGAGACACAGAAAAGCCGTCGAAAGCCGAGCGGAATATTCAGTTCTAAGAAAAGGATCGCCATGCTGGTTCGTAACGTCACCGAATGGAAGGGTCTATTCAATCAGCACTACGTTGTGTCCTTGCAAAACAGCAAGGACCCAGCAATGTCTGCTATGTGGCGCATGCCCTTTTTGAGTCTTCTGTTCCTGTTCAGATAACATAAAAGCAGGAACATCGTGCAAGCACCATCAAATATTGCACGATGGTAAGCTGATGTTTTTCTATCTCTTTCATAGCTCATTGCTATCTTTTCAGAACAAAAAGTCGCACTCGATTCTATGGATGAATGTGATGTGGCAAGCGCCCCTTCATCCCCAGTCTCGAATATATCTTTCAACTCTGATTTCAACAATAATGTGACGGAAGGAGGGAGCTCCGCAGAGGTTCCTTGCAAGGAAAATTGTATGAGTAGAAAATTCGAACGAACGGGTATTCTGTAGGTGACAGTCTTGATTGCAGTTACCAACTGAACTTTTAAGATGTTTGACTACCTTTCTGCATATGTGGGAAGGCTGGCCATCGAAGTGACCCGTGGGGCTGAAGTAAATTTGCAAACGGTTCAGCAACGAATAAAAGCTGTGATGGAAATAACTTACGGTATCGAGTTTCCCCATTTGATTGTGCTTGTTTATTACAGAAATACCGAGTCTCTCATGTTCCAGATTTGGGTATACCGATGTTTGATATGCCGGTTCGTGGGAGCTCACCAGCGTCCGTGAAACAAATGAGAAAAGGAGGTTCCCGTTGCCAAGTAGAATCAATGTTGAAGGTGTATTGATTTTTATTATCTTTTTATTGTTCTGTTACTATTTTGTGATAAAGCTACGCAGTTATAAATTGCGCCGCACAATTGAGTTACATTCCAGAGGAATGAACTGCGAGCAGGGAAGGAAAAGCACGGTGTTCCTCCTATAATCTCCAAGCACATCGAAGGGGACGACGAGCTCAATTTTGCGCCGTATCTGATAAGAGAGCACCTTCTGCGAATTCTATAGATGTACAGGACACACCAATTGACTGGGTTCAGTGCGATGAATGTAGAAATTGGGTGCTTTTGGAGGGCACCAACTCTAGAGAATGTTATGTAGCGGCTAGGTACATTTTAAGTGGTATCGAATCGAAGTAAGATGAAAATAAAAATAGGAGACAAATCTGAAAATTCTTTTGGTACTGACGCCTGCTATATTTATTGTTATGAATGTTCTAGTTCACTTGCACCGGTATTATTTAGATCCATTGTTATGCCTTTGGGTCATTTGTCACTGAAACTTTGCTCGATTACTCTTAGAACTCTTTGGTATGGTTCGTATTACTCAGACATCATACTGCAGCCCACCTTGTTGACAGGTGCCTGAAATGAGGAAGTAAAAAGCAACGCCTTCCACACAATACTCTTTAATGTCCTGTGCGGTTCAGTCTGCACTTTAACTCATATGTTGGCAGGTAAGTCTTCGCTTTTCTTTCACCTTCGGGCTCGACTGGCAGAAAAAGGAAGGCCTGCAATCAAAACAATTAGACTACAAAAAGCAGAAATGACGAGCACAATTGAAAAAATGATTCGAGGAAATGGTACCGTTACTCAAAATATGACTGTCTAAGGCGACGTACTTAACACCCAGAAAAGAAATATTTCCCTGCCGATCCACTTTGCATAAATTCTCCGATTATCCAACGGGATTACGTATGAACGAAGAGAAAATCAATCTACGGATAATAAATAATAGTTATTAAATGCATGCGATAAAAAGTTCAGTGGATACTTCAGTAATCAGAACTTGATTGCAAACTAGTGGCGCCCTCGAGCAGCACTCAAAAGTTCGAGCGCAGAGACCTTGACAATGATGGATAACGCCGACCCCAGTGTTGAACAAACGCGAACGCACCCGGGACGATTAGATGACAGCTTTCGCCTGGAAGTTTCGATAAAGGCCGTGTATCATGTGGGAAATTCAATCATTTGTGGTATTCTTGATTGGGCTAACTGCTCTGACTTACTACTATCCAAAAGCCGAAAAAAGGTGATTACTCCTGTTACTCTCACCACGGAAAAAGGTGCTCGCAGAGCTCCATTATACTTCCGGCAGCCTAAACATGGGCGAAAAGTGTAATAAGGTGCAAGGAGGCATACCCGAAATGGTCGGGGTGTATCGCGATAGGCGGTGCTTCCCATTAACTCGCTTCCTGAAAGACTTTAGGTCGAGCCAACACCTGGGAGAGAGAGAGTTTCGGATGCCTGAGTGTGTTAACACCCGTGGGGGAGCATACTCTCAATGATAGGGTGTCCATTACAAAAATTTGTGGCCTGGTTCTAGAGCACTCAAGAGGCAGGAAAAAAGTAGATCAAGGTCAGCAAAGGGGGCGCCGGTGATGAATGTGGGGTACACATGTTGTAAGCAGAGCCTCCCCGTGGTGGGCGGAGCCCGACAAAAATTTCTGTAAAACTTTTCCAGAGCACTCAAGAGACAAGAAAAAAAGCAGATCAAGGTCAGCAAAGGGTCGCTGGTGAGGAACGTGGGGCAACATGATGTGGATGGAACCTTCCATGTGGTGAGCGGAACCCGACAAAAAATCTGTAAAACGGTTCCGCAACACTCCAAAGACTGGAAAAAGTGTAGATAAAAGTCAGCAAATGGTTGCCGGTTGAAGAAAGTGGGACACATGTCGTGGGACTTGCCTAGATGTGGACGGAGACAGGCAAAACTCTGTAAACGGTTCCAGAGCACTCAGACGCCGCTTAAAAGTGATAGTGGTCAAGAGGGATCACTGGTCAATGCGGAACACATCCGTTGTAGGTGGAGCGTGCGGTGATCTAGGTGAAGCGTAACGCAGAAATCCGTGAAATGGTTCCAGAACAGACTCCAGACTGCGGCAAAAGGCGAGCAAAGATGTGCAGGAGCTCCGCTATGGAAGCGAGATTTACGCGCCCATTGTGTGCGGAGCTGTGTCGATGTGGGCGGGCGAAGGTCAAAAATTCACGAATCAGTTGCAGAGCAGCATAGGCACCGGGGACAAGTGGGTTGAGGTCCACAAGGGGTTAGCGGACAAAATGAGGGAGACATCTCAAAAATGGGTGGGCTTCTTCCGAGATGGGCGGTGCTGTCTGCAGAATTTCGTGGTTAGGATCTGAGGTGAGTGAGCTCGGAGATCAGGAAAAACTGCTGGAGAATAGAAATAGCGAGAGTTGAGTATGTCTGTGGTGTGTTGAGCCCACAGTGGGTGGAGCGTGTCCTCAAGCACTAGGTACCTATTTCACTGCGTTTTAGCGCATAGGCCGTCATACTCTTAACACCTGTCGTCACAGGTACATTTGATTGTAGTCGGCACGCTGGCTGACGCCGGCCCGACTCTCTGATACGGCGAGGATTTGCCGGTCTTGCTTGGCTTCGTCGGGCCTACCTTCTTCCGTATGTTTGAATGCTCAACTAATACCCGGCTTTTCTCTCATCTGCCCACTTGATCAACACTGCTTACCACCATTTCATAGGCGGTAATAGTGTTGAAAGCAGCAGGTATGATGGTGTACAGGTGAAAGAAGAGCCGCATAGCTGCTGAGTATTCTAAACATGTAAAAGGAGGTACGCGCGGCGAGGCCGCGCCCACACGACGAAGCCGGGTCGTATCGCAGAAGGAGGCACGCCTGCGTCAGCCGGCGAGCCGACTGGTTTC